GCTTGGCTCATATCTTCAACAACACAGTATTCACAGTGGTGATCACTGTAATTCCAAAGTAACTTGCATAATTCTTTAGCCATATCTTCCGATCCATTTACTTGGTTGGATATGATTGCTGATAATAGATGGTCGAGATAACAAATATCTTCCTCTTTGGTATCCATCCTTGCATTGGAATAGATAATATGATCTTCAGATGGATAAACCCATATTTTTTCTTTTTCAGTAATTATCTGAGTTACATGTTCAAATATCTCTTTATACCCTTTTGCTCTTCTATAGGGCATCATATTAAGAATATCTTGATATCCGTTTTTAACAACCTTTTGATTGGCTGGTAAAAAATGTTGATTTGTTAGTCTCATTTTGATCACATGGAACGATGGATGCATATATTCAAGGACAGGATCCCATTCCATTGTTGCTGAATGAAATCTGATATATATATATTTGTTGTTTTAACAACTTCAGTATATCTTTTAACAACTTTCCTAATGTTGGCTGGAAGCTGAGCTATCTCTTTGAGATCTTTACTAGGATATATACAAAGTATATTTCCTATTTCAAATCAATTTCGAACCCAGTTAGCTGGTACTCCTGGATAAAAGTTTATCTTGTTATATTTCGAATAGTGGAGAGTCTTCATCCACTTTCCAATCTCCAGATACCAATCTGATAGAATATTAAAAATAACAATAAAGAGTGTTACTTCTTCATGGTTATCTTTTTTGGGCATTTTTGCTTCATGGCATATCTTGACAATATTTTTGGGATCTATCCTTTCAATAGAAAGTTTAAATTGAGTTTGGCTCTGTGAAGAGCTACCTTCTCTTTTGATATCTTGAATATCTCTATTACCAGTAATAGGTTTAAGTATTCCCTGTGAAGGGGTTCCTATTACCTTTTTTCTTTCCCTTTATCCTCGGGAAGAGCGCTAGTATTCACAAGTCCCTGTGAAGGGATACTAGTCTTGGTACAAGTAACTTCTGCCTCATGGGCTAAATTCTTGCCTCGAAGGCTATCTTGGATATTTTGAATTTGGGTTTCCAAATAGGAAACTTTTATCTCAAGTATCTGGACTTTCGTCCTTAATTGTTCTAGCTCCATCCCTGCTAAGATAATCAGGAAGAAAGTTAGCTTTTCCTTTAATATATTCAATATCAAATTTGAAATATGAAAATCAAATCTGTATCCTAATTATGTATCTATTAGTCACAGATGGATCAACATTATTTTTCAAAAATACTTTAATTTGAGTATTATCAGTTCTAATCAAAAACTTCTTTGGTAATAAATAATCTTCATATTTTTGAACTCCTCTTTTTACAGCAATGAGTTCTTTTCTATTCGTCTCATATCTTGTTTCAACTTTTTTGAATGTCCCTGATGTATAACCTGCAAGTATCTCAGGGCAAGAACAATCTTTTTCACATTTATATTCTTTATGATTCTTTTTAACTTTTAGCACTGCTCCCCAGTAGTAATCTGAAGCATCAGTTTTCAGGATAAAAAAATCTTCTTCTTGGGGTATTACAAGTTTAGGCAATACCTTTAATTCTTCTTTTATATTTCTTATATTTTCACAATCTTGCTCTTCCCAAGACCACATTATTTTTTTTCTTAATTTTGGAAGAAAATAATTTTTCAATTTAGCACAATTTTCAATGAATCCTTCAGCATAATTTAATATACCGAGGAAGCTTTGTAATTGTTTTTTATCATTGATTTCTTCAAGAAATTCTTGAAGTTTTTCTCCAATATGGGATTGCAATTGCAATTCTCCTTCTTTTATGAATAATCCTAAGAATTCTATTTTTATTTTAGCTATCTCAACTTTCTTTTGAGAAAGTGTAATACCATGTTTTTTCATAATATAACATAATTTCCCAAGATGCTCAATATGTTCATCAATATTATTTGAATGAATAAGTAAATCATCTACGTATGCAATACAAAAAAGAGTAATTGGTTTGATTACCTCATCCATTCTTCTCTGAAATATCTGTGGTGCATTTTTCAACCCAAATGGCATTACATTCCATNTTAGGCACATCCTTTTTACCCAACTAGACGACTTCCGACATTGTTAAAGAAGAAACATAGTTAACATCCTGTTACCGTGCAACATTGTTATGTAGTTCGTACCAAACATACCCTATTCCATGTGGGATAACTTTGAGAATAGCTGGGAAATTCTTCCTATTTTCCACAATAGCCTTTCCTATTAAAAGTACTATATTGCCCTTAATGAAATTATTTGCAAGATCTATCTTATATCTTTAAGGATTTATCAATCAGGCCTTATATTAATATTTTTCAATCTTTCGAACACTTTTAAATATTCTTTATATTTTAATAATTCTTCAAAGACTATAGGTTGTCCTCTCTTGGTTATGTATCCTTTAAATAATCCTTCTGAGATTTCTTCTTGTATATTTGTATGTTTAGTTATAATATCTTCTACTTTTCTTATTTCTCTGCTAGTTCCTACAGGATCAAATCCTATATTATTTCTACAATTATAATCTATATCTCTGTATATTTCTTCTATTTTTTCTCTACCAACAGGAAATATATCATCAGATTTTTTATCTAGTTTAAGTAAGAACGAAACATCTTTTTCATCTAAAATTAGAATAAGATTATTATCATCATTAGTAGTGGAAGTGGATGCTTGTGAATTGTTCATGTAAATAATTAAAACATAAGCATGTAGAAATAAGTAAATAACTTACAGTAATCAAGTGGAAATAAACAGGCTTTCCCTCCAGTATGCTCTTATAGATGCTTTACATGTACTTAATCAGTCTTCTGAATCAAGTAAAGATTTAAAATGTTTTTGAAATCATTTGAGTCCACAACTGCTTCCGCAAAAAGTTTTTCAATTAAGGTTGCATTTCTTATTCTACAGAACTAGCCGTGTTTCCACAGACGCTATCTCACAGTATCCAGAGTCTCTGTTTTTACCTCTATCCAAACTCTTTTCAGAATCAAGTTCCTACTTGGAACGAAATTTTAAAAGATAACTCACACACAAGGTGCTACAAATTTTTGTTAGAAAACTGTCTTTTTCCCCTAAACCATTCATCAAATACGGGTACTTTGGCATGGCTAACATCCATTCAAAATCAAAGTTTTGAAAATCTTTTAAAATCTCTATCTGTACTGCCGAGGAATCATGAGAAACTTAACGAAATCCTTTTATGTAAGCCTTGTTGAACATAACAAACTTTACTTTAATATTCATGAACTGAAATTGTACATGCTTACAAACTATATTTACATACCTTTGGTACTCGCCTTATGAAGTTTAGAACTCCATAAGTGATTACCTTATTACACGCTTTCCTATCTTCAAACTATCTAATATTTTTCTGAATACAAGTAGTGTATACAGATTACAACGGGTTTCTCTCAAATGTGTTTAAGAGAAATTATTTCAAGGTATTTCGAGA